TCTGTGTTCTCTGCTCTGTGTTCTCTGCTCTGTGCTCTGCTCTGTGTTCTCTGCTGTGTTCTCTGCTCTGTGCTCTCTGCTCTGTGTTCTCTGCTCTGTGTTCTCTGCTCTGTGCTCTCTGCTCTGTGCTCTGTACTCTCTGCTCTGTACTCTCTGCTCTGTGTTCTCTGCTCTGTGCTCCCTGCTCTGTGCTCTCTGCTCTGTGCTCTCTGCTCTGTTCTCTGTGTTCTCTGCTCTGTTCTCTGTGTTCTCTGCTCTGTGCTCCCTGCTCCCTGCTCTGTGCTCTGTGCTCTCTGCTCTGTGCTCTCTGCTCTGTGTTCTCTGCTCTGTGTTCTCTGCTCTGTGTTCTCTGCTCTGTGCTCTGTGTTCTGTGCTCTCTGCTCTGTGCTCTCTGCTCTGTGCTCCCTGCTCTGTGCTCTCTGCTCTGTGCTCTCTGCTCTGTGCTCTCTGCTCTGTGCTCTCTGCTCTGTGTTCTCTGCTCTCTGCTCTCTGCTCTGTGCTCTGTGTTCTCTGCTTTGTGCTCCCTGCTCTGTGCTCTCTGCTCTGTGCTCTCTGCTCTGTGCTCTCTGCTCTGTGCTCTCTGCTCTGTGCTCTCTGCTCTGTGTTCTCTGCTCTGTGCTCTCTGCTCTGTGTTCTCTGCTCTGTGCTCTCTGCTCTGTGTTCTCTGCTCTGTGCTCTCTGCTCTGTGTTCACTGCTCTCTGCTCTGTGAGCAGTGTGTAAGTCCTGTGCATCCTTTTCATTCAGCTTTTTCAAAATTGTGGCTCTCAGTCCTTTGTAAACCTTTGTATTTATATATGGCTGATTCTTCAACTGCGGACCAATCCGGTTCTGCAATTTTTGGAATATCTACAGTGCCGTGCGAAAGTATTCGGCCCCCTTGAACCTTTCAACATGTCGCCACATTTCAGGCTTCAAACATAAAGATATAAAATTTAAATTTTTTGTCATGAATCAACACGTGGGACACAATCGTGAAGTGGAATGAGATTTATTGGATAATTTAAACTTTTTTAACAAATAAAAAACTGAAAAGTGGGGCGTGCAATATTATTCGGCCCCTTTACTTTCAGTGCAGCAAACTCAGTCCAGAAGTTCAGTGAGGATCTTTGAATGATCCAATGTTGTCCTAAATGACTGATGATGATAAATAGAAGTCTCCGTATAAATGCACCTGCTCTTTGATAGTCTCAGGGTTCTGTTTAAAGCGCAGAGAGAACCATGAAGACAAAGGAACACACCAGGCAGGTCCGAGTAGGCCTGTCGCGATAGTCAATAAATCAATTAATCGCACGATAAATTAAATTTGCTCAATAACTTTTCTGGCCGCGATAAATCCCATTTGCATGCTTGTTTGTTTCCCCCGTCTCTCTCGGGTCAGAGAGCCGCAAAGTGGTCATGGGAACATTAGCGGTCTAGCAAGCAGACGGAAATTACTCAAAAATACAAAATACAGCCAAAACAGGACTTAAACCAGGACTTAACCAGGATTGACAATGGGGGACACAGTAGTTTTGAACATATCCCGGCAGCTGAGTTCTCATTCAGGCTTGATTAGTGACTATACTAGCGCAGCTAGCGTTAGCGTGTTCGCCGATGCAGAAGTACCGTACCAATAAAATAAACTTATGGCGCACCTCCGTGAACACATACTGCTGTTATATAAAGTCTCTAGAAGGTCTCTGAACACAGAGATGCTGCAGACTTGCATTCTTGGAGTAGAACTTTACACAAAAAACCCGCTAGCTTAGCTGTTAGCATCAAAGCCCGCCCCGCTACTTCCGGTGGGCGCTACCGCAGCAGGACTTCTGTACGCCCCATTGGTGAACCCACATGTCAGTCACTTGTCATTCGCCTGGTGTGTGGGGAGGTGGGACTACTCCTGAGAGATCCTGTCTTAAGCCACACAAAGTCAACATGTTGGTATTTCTTTCTCGTAATCTGCCATAAAGTCTGAGAAATTATTGACATTTGAGGCATCTGTTTCATATTTTCTTTACAAAGGTCCTGGCAGTTTTATTCCTGGTCATTTTTTGTTAAGAGACTGAGTATTTTATTTATTGTTTTTGGTTGTTTGTAAATTTATTGTGTTCTAGCGTTAAATATTCGTTAAAAATAAAAGTTTATTTCTCTTTGAAAAGGTGTACCTGCATGATCATTGTAATTGATGCAAATGATCTCAGAACGACAATATAATCGCTTATCGCAATAATTTCTGAGACAATTAATCGTCTAGCAAAATTTGTTATCGTGACAGGCCTACCTCCCACCCATTCTGATTTGGTGTTAGTACGACCTCCCAACCGCTCATCACTATCAGACACACACACGTGTCGTTTACAGGGAGGACCTGTAGATTAATTAGTTTATTGACCTAACTGCTTGTTTTAGAATACACCGTGATCATAAATCACTTTAGACAACTGTGAAACATTATCACACACACACAGGCCAACAGAAGCTAACTCATTGAAACTCTTTGAAAAACAATGTGCAGTAACACCTTTCACCACTTGCTCAAGAGCGCCGTCTCTTTTCTGGGGATTTTAGGGTGCAGTACCACCTTTTCACCACTTGCTCTCTACCGCCGTCTATACTATCTACTAGTGTACTTTTCTCATGCATTTCATCCACTGCTTTGAAGTATCTGCAGTGCTTTCGCGGCTGTTTTCACCCAGACTTTTTCACCCGGCTTTCGTATCCAGAGATGCAGCAAGCTAGTCCAGCTTTGTGATACCACACACAATCGCTAAAAACACTAAACCATTGACAGCGGGAGAGTTCATTTTAAGTTCATAAATGTTTAGTGACAATACAATATGTTTGGTGCTTGGTTAATTTTTGGAGCACAAAGACCTTATTGCACATTCACTGTAGCCTGATGGTGCTTTCAGACCGCCAACACTGAAGCCCCGCTCACCAGACGCGCATTCTCTAGTTTTCAGACGCAGAGGTCTTCACACCGAGATGTCCTGACGCGCACCGGAAGTAGCCGGCAGGCTATGATGCTAACAGAGTTTAGCTAGCGGCTTCTTGTGTACAGATCTTCTCCAATATGCAGCTTTGCAGCGTGTCTTTGAACAGAGACTTTGCATGGGCTTTATTTAACAGTAGTATGTGTTCACGGAGGTGCGCCATACGTTTTTTCATATTATTCAACGGAATTTCCGCATCGGCAAACACACTCGAAGCAGTTGCATAAGGTCACGGGAGCATGACAACGCATATTTTCACAAGCACACAGTCCACCATTGTCAACCCTGGTTTGAGTTCTGGTGAAGCCTGGTGTGGGTCCTGTTTTGGCTGTTTATGTGTATTTTCAGTCTGCTCGCTCAGTCCGCTAATGTCCCCGTGACCACTTTGCGGCTCTCTGATTGGTCGCTGCACGAACGTCGCAAGGAAAGGATGAGCAGAATCCATCTCCTGTGGGCGTTGATTTTTCGCTCCTGCTCCTCCCCTTTTCACTTTCCCGCCAAGTCCGTGCGTCTCTACTGAACAGTCCGTCCATGCGTGCCGAGAGGTCTGTGCGTTGTGACGCTCGAATGCTCGTCACCATAGACTTTGCATTGAAAGCTGACGCAACGCATGATCCGGTCTGAAAGCACCATGACTCTCGCCAGACCCTTGTAGTTCCACCAAATGCAAACTCCTTCAAGATAGCAAAAATATGAACCAATCAGGATCGTTGGTGTAACGTCGGTTTGCACCATCTTCTCGAAATCCGCTGCCTCTGCTGTTTATGATGTAATAGAAACCTGCGCATGAGCGTCTCAATGCAGCTGAAGCAAACCGAGATGATGGACATATGTCTTCGGGTGTCAGACTGTACAACAGACCTGGATGGTCTTCTGCTGCTGGACGCCTGAATGTCTCCTACGGGGATCAATAAAGTATCTATCTATCTATCTATCTATTATATTACAACTATTATGTAAATTTGAGTAAACATTTTTTGACCAGGCCCTCTACAATATTTTCTCTTTCTCATGCAGCCCCCTGTAAAAAAAACAGTTGGTGATAAATGGTCTAAATGCTCCTGTCTCAAACCTAAAAAGACAACTGCAGAGCGATTTCATCAACACTGGTCTAAACACACAGGTCTGCAGTGTGTAAAGGCCTAATCTACAGCCCCAGTCTTGGATCTACAGCCTCAGTCCTGGATCTACAGCCTCAGTCCTGGATCTACAGCCTCAGTCCTGTCTCAAACCTAAAAAGACAACTGCAGAGCGATTTCATCAACACTGGTCTAAACACACAGGTCTGCAGTGTGTAAAGGCCTAATCTACAGCCCCAGTCTTGGATCTACAGCCTCAGTCCTGGATCTACAGCCTCAGTCCTGGATCTACAGCCTCAGTCCTGGATCTACAGCCTCAGTCCTGGATCTACAGCCTCAGTCCTGGATCTACAGCCTCAGTCCTGGATCTACAGCCTCAGTCCTGGATCTACAGCCTCAGTCCTGGATCTACAGCCTCAGTCTTGGATCTACAGCCTCAGTCCTGGATCTACAGCCTCAGTCCTGGATCTACAGCCTCAGTCCTGGATCTACAGCCTCAGTCCTTGATCTACAGCCTCAGTCCTGGATCTACAGCCTGTTTGTCCCTTTTTAATTGTAGTCGTCCCCGAGATTTCTCACATTTTCCCATTGGGTTTTGGAGTGGTTACTTATCGATGCAGCAGGGTCTAAGAACATGATCTGGGACATTTAAGGACATTTATAGACAGTGGTCATCCTGCTCACTATGGACCAATGACTTCTATGTGTATTTGTTCGAACTGCTTAATTCTCTGATCTGTTGTTGGCAAATCAACCACTTTGGAAAGTTGTTGAGACGACTGCTGCTAAAATTTAAGGCTATGCAAGAATTTATAAAATAGACTTGATTTATTATTATAATTAAATTACTATTCCAATGTGGTTTTACTGCAAATGGCAAATACATTGATTTGAATTTAGAATTTTTTTTCTCTGATATGTCCTGCAGGAATCACCACCGTCCTGACCATGACCACGCTGAGCACCGTGGCGCGGACGTCTCTGCCGCGCGTCTCGTACGTCACAGCGATGGACCTGTTCGTTACCGTCTGCTTCCTCTTCGTGTTTGCCGCCGTCATGGAGTACGCCACGCTCAACTACTACTCCTACTGCACGCGCTCCTGCCTGCACCAAAGAGTCTCAGTGAGTCTACAAACAGTCACTCTCAATTCAATTCCATGTATTATTTTATAGCCCTTAATCACAGCAGTAGTTATCTCAGAGGACTTTACAAACCCATTGAATTTGCCAACCCGTTTAATTCATGTTTTGTTGTTATGGAGTTGCCTTCATGTTATATACTTCCTTATTTAGTCGCTAACCCATAAGCTGTGTCTCCTCTACTGTCATTTTACAAAGCATTTATCAATTTCAAGTAAACATTACGCCTGTAGGAAAAAGCCATGTACCAGCAGAACCTCTGGGACATTACACATCTGTGAATAACCTCCATCAATACTGCTTAGTTTGACTTTAAAATTGGGTAACTGGTGTTTTATTGTTTTTATTACATTTGTATTGTTTTTACGTAAATAATGTTTTCATTTTTTTAAACTTATTAAGCTGGCAAACCTGTATTACTGTGTTACTTTTATCCGTGCAGCACTTTGGAAACTTATTTCTTTATAAATAAAGTAGATTGGATTGTAGCTGCACAGAGGGGCGACAGTAGCTCAGTTGGTAGAGCATTGGCCTTAAGCCCAGAAGGTCGTGGGTTCAATTCCCACCTCTGCACGACTCCCACTGATGACTGCTCTCGTTGTGTCCTTGGGCAAGACACTTAACCCCACTTTGCCCAAAGCCCCCACTGAAAGATCAAGGCTATACTCACACTCAGAGAGCAGCCGTCCTCCTGTGGACTCACCACCTGCAGAGGGTCAGTGAGGGGCTGGTGCTATGAGACTTGGGTGGCATCTCTGACTGCCACCCCCCTGACCCAGAAATGGATGAAAGGGTAGAAAATGGATGGATGGATTGTAGCGTGTGTGTGTTTGTGTGTTTGTGTGTGTGTTACATCTGAGTCAGCTGCCAATTCTTTCCCATTGTTCCCGAAATCACAACCGTAGTTATCTCAGAGGACTTAACAACACCGTTGAAATTGCCAACACAGACAAAGAGTAGAGAACACATGTGTTGGTTCATAGGGAGTTGACCAATGTCCGTATATGTCCTTAAATGTTTTTGAATGTAGACTGTCCTGGATCCTCACCACAGTCCTTTTGAGACCCTCTAACTGTCGAAAAGACCCTCCTGCATTGGCAAAGAAACCTCAACTGCTCAAAATAACCTTATTGTTGATGATGATTGGCTTGACAGTTTTCTTTTTGTGATATTTTTACAAAGAAACAAAGTGCCATGGCTCAAAAAGGTTGGCGAACTTAATTTCCCACGCAATCGGCAAACAAATGTTGTCAGTCCAAATTGGCGGAAAGTAGATTGAAACACCCCAGTAAATCGTTTATTCTGTCTTTTAATTTTTTGTGTGGAATATTCATGCCGTCAAATCAACTCATTTTAGAATATCCGTCTGGAAGGACATAATTGTTACCAGAAGCAGATTAGAAAATTAGTACAAGAAAGACAACAATACATTTCTGAGAGTGGTTTGTCCGTAGGATAATGGACATTAGGTCTTTTGATACTCCAAATATAATACTCATAAATATCCAAAGAGGTCCAAGATCATCCCCTGTGAAAAACTCAAAAACCCAGTATAAAACCCGGACATACAATTTTTGGACATCTCCCCAATATCACTTTAGTGGTAAAAGTATGTGAAAAGAAAATTATGTGAAGACTAGAAAGACCCTTTTCCTCTTTTGGATGTTCTATGTAATACACTTGAATGACTTTATATTGTTATATTGTATATATATAAAGGCGGCAGAGTGTCCGTTTCAGCTAGTGGTGTGCTATGTGATGGTTCTCAATGAAAAAGTTGTGCCATGGCTCAAAAAGGTCGGGGGACACTGATCTATCAACATTTATGGACTCTGTTTGATTCTCTGATCTGTGCCGGCAAATCTACAGCTTTGTAAAGTCGTGAACTATTGTTGTGATTTAATGCTATACAAAAATACATTGAATTGATATGAAACACATATTTTTTCTATCCTGAAATCTCCTTTTTGATAATGATGCCCAAATGTGTCTTGCAGAAGTACTCCATCCTGGACGTCCCGCCTCCCTCGGTCATCAGGCTCAACCACTCCCTCTACATTCAGGACTTGGACGATACCTGTGCATACCACTGCCTGGAGGGGAAAGACTGTACAAGCTTCTTCTGCTGCATCGAGGAATGTAAAGATGGCGGCTGGAGACAGGGCCGCGTCCACATCGACCTCCTGGAACTGGACGCTTATTCTCGAGTCTTTTTCCCAACGTCGTTCCTTCTGTTCAACATCGTCTACTGGGTCGGATACCTCTACCTCTAGCACAACGAGACAGATCCTCGATTTTAGATCTGTTTCGATCTTTTCAGGAACAACATTATAGCAATCGCACAGAGAACCTGCAAGAAAGTAATGTGATAGACACTTGATACGCTTTTGGTTGCAACTTGGAGACTGCGGCTGCATCCCAATTCAAAAAAACATATCTTCTCCCTTAACTTTCCTCTGTGGCATCAAAGAACAACTATTATGTACTGTCTTTGGCCCTTAGACATAATACTGAGACAATTTACTTTCTAGAATGTAAGGTCAGATTCAGTGGTCCCATCATCACGCCATGAAACAGACAATGGGACAGCGGGTGGATAGCAATGAATAGACTACAGCTGAAATAATTATGGATAAAGTAGGAAGAGGAGAAGACAGTGGTCAAGTTACCATACTTCTCCCAGGGGTGTCTCCGTACGTGGCCCTGTGCCGCTAACACAAAGAAGCCATTGAGCTACTTTCAGAGTGTCATCCAGCCAACTTCAGCTCCTCCAATATACCTCACTGCAAAGCTCAGAACCGTTGGAGTCCAGTCATTTATATGTTTATACTGACACTTACAGTGTTTCCCACACATAGACTAATCTGTGGCGCACCGCCACAGATTAGAGACCGCCCGCCACAAATTGCGTTTCGTATTATTATATATATATATTTTTTGTTACGCTATTTAAAACATGCATCGTCTAGTGCCGCCGCAGCGGTCAATTTGACAGCGGGGAGGGGGGTTTAAAATGTGGCGGCCCTTCGTAACTCTCACTCAAGCTACGCGTCTCTCCCACATACAGAGACCTACACACACACAGCCACTCCCCTTCGTGCACACCGCGTGTCTCCGTCTCCATCAGCGATCATCGCTGTAAGCAGCTGTGTCTATTAATTTTGGTGCAGAGAAGACGGCTGGTGAAGTTCACTAAAGGTTGGTATCCCGTGATCTCGTAAATCACACATTAAAAAGTGCTGAATGTTCAGTGTCAATGTTGAATTTCCGTCCCGACTCCCTTAACAAGCGATGACGCTATAAAGTTAAAATCAGGTGCTCTGATAAAACATGCAAACTTTGCAACAAGTAGGTTTATACAGCGTTAACAGTATTTATAGTGTAATATAGTGTTTATACAGCGTGTGAATAATGTTATTTTTTGCAACAAGTAGGTTTATACAGCGTTAACAGTATTTATAGTGTAATATACAGCGTGTGAATCAGTCCAATAAAGCTGTATTTGACCAATTAACGATGTCATTGTTAATTTTTGCCGGCCGCCCCCCCCCCCCCCCCCCCCCCCCCCCCCCCCCCCGCCGACGACCACCACACATTGCCTTCAAACCTGTGGGAAACACTGCACTAATCATGTAGCTGTGGTGTGAATCATTATGGACACATGGGCAGATGTGTTGCTAAGATTGTTGCTTGCTAAGGCACGTGGGTGAATGAAGATATCTCATTGGTCAATCCTCAATTCTGAATTTATAAAGACAACGTCGCAATACAAACACTGGGATCACGGACAGCGCTAAACCACATACTTTTAATCCCAAAATAGTGAGTGTGACACAAACGGTTTCTGAGCTAGAGGAGTTTACCTGTACATTTAAGTCAATAGGAGCCAGAGCTAGCGGGTTAGCATTGTCCACTTATACACAGTCTATGAAAGGAACAAGAAAAAAGGTATTTCTTATGAGTATGGATGCAGCCCTCTTGTACATCCAGCCATTAAATCCAAGGACGTTCAGAGCATTCTTAGTGCCTTCCATTGGAGGAAGATGTTTGACAATAATCAGGGAATAACCGTCTCGTGGCTGACTAAGACTGTTCTACACTATCCAATATCACTTTTATCAGTACTTTACGACATGCACCATTGTTCGATTACTATCAAAGTTGAATAAAGCCTTAACCTTCACCTTTCGTCAACGTTGCCATACAAACTATAGTGGCCTAAAGCATGGCAGTTTGCATGTTCTCCCTGTGTGGTTGTTTGAGGACGCACTGAAAAAGCAATTAAAAGTACTTGCACAATAATCATTAGGAGTGATTATTGCTTTCACAATGGTGAATTCAAGAGGTTGCAGTGGTTCACTCACCAAAACGCAACGGTTGTGTGCGTCTACTCCAATGCTTTACAATCATGTATCATGTGCCAAGGAAACCTATACTGTTTGTGCTCGAGACACTTCTAAAAAAATCCTTATTTGTTTTTTCTTCTGCGCTTTGAACCTCACTTTGACCCCCTGAACATGCATGAATAACTGCAAAAGATTGCAGTTAAAGCTGCACTAACTGACTTTATTTTCGTATTCATTACGAAAATGCAATCCATATTCATGCAGTGCATTGGGATGTACGTCCTTTTGAAGAATAAGTAGCGCAGGTTTGTGCTGGCGTGTCATTTAATTTTAGATAGAGTTTTCATGACTCAAGGAAGAGAATGTGGTTCGGGTCTCAGATTGTGACCAATCACAGCGGACCACAGACCCCCGCTTTCTTGAGAAAAGCCACGGGTTTCTGGTTAGCACCGACAGCTGAGTTAGCACAACAAGCGGCAGAGGCTAACCTGAAACTTCCTGTGTCTTCGTTTCTGCTGACTCAGCGAAACATCCAAAAGAAAGTCTCGTCCTCTCCGCGCTTCCCGGTTCTATCATTCTATGGTCACGCCATCCACGTGGTATATTGTTGTAAGTTCCATATTGTGAGACGCTAGCTCCAAAGCTAACAACAGCACAGAGCACAGGCTGCGGGGGAGGGGGGTAGTGGGGGTGACAGCTCTGTGGGTGCGGGGAGGGCGAGCAGAGAGAGCGAGGCCATCGCTCGCGTTTGAAAATGTCTCCAAATCAGTTAGTGCAGGGGTTAAAGCAAAAAAAAAAGATTTGACTGAAAATTTTTGCATGGAAATTTATCACATGTAAATCACAGTAATATGCAGGACCAAGTTATATTTTTTATTACAATATATTATTGTATAATAGATTGTATATTGAATACAGCTCAAATGAATTCTTCAAAGATATACAGTGTATTTTGATATGAAATATAAGTGGATCAAGCAACGAGTCAACTTTTTGACAGAATATTAGTGAGAGTAGCTTTACTTGAGGCGATATGGAGCGTCAACACTTTGGCTCTGTCCTCGTCAAAATATATCGCAAAAGGACGATACAATTCTGTCCACATTTGTTTGTGGACACGTCAATATTTAAGAAAAAGGTTTCCCTATCAAGTTTGAGTGCACAGTGCACTTCGATCAACTGCAAATGATTTAAATAAATGTACCAGCGGTAGTGATATTCTGAACGTTATTTTCTGCGATAAAGCCACAGACACGGTCCGCCAGAGCAAGCCTAGTGTCAGTTGTTGCTGATGCACCAGGTAAAGATGAAGTGTGGGAAAGTGCTCAAACAGCTGCCTTGTGCGTAGTTTTGAGCTGGTGGCGAATCAAAACTTTTTTCTCATTACTCCCATACAGGGCTGGACTGGGACAAAAAAACGGCCCGGGCATTTTTTCCTTCTTACCGGCCCAGGCATGTTTTTGTTTTTTACAGTTTGTTTATACCAGGGATCGGCAACTCAAAAGGTTCAAAGAGCCATATTTGACAAAAAATACTAAAAACATCTGTCTGGAGCCGCAAAAAAATAACAGCCTTGTATAAAGCTTATATGAAGGTTACACAATGTAGCTACATTAGCTACATTAGCCTATTATCTAAATGACCAAGTAAAGGCTACAAATACATGATTAGCATTCATGATTGTCAAATGTGTGTTTTCACTGCAGCGTGTCCTGGAGAGAATGACGCACCACGTGATGACTCTGCTTTAACTTTGACTTCCATTTTTTTGCCTTCATGCAACTGCAGAAATACAGTAAATAAATCTGCTTTTTGGCTCAAAGGTCACACACCTGCACTGTCCGCTCATATCGATTACGTCACAGGCTGAAGTTTGCTGGAGCTGAATGTCCTTAATGGCCTTTTCTTTCACAGTCTTTGCGGAGGTTTTTGAAGTCTGAAAAAGGTGCTCCGGATTTTGTATGAAAGAATCCTTCACGTAATCCCTGTGAACGGTATTTAGTGCTTCATTGTTCCTCGTGTTGCAACAAAACTTCCCATTACATCGCAAACATGAAGCAGTCCTTCCTCATTGACTAAGAGCAAATTTTCAGTCTTGATCCTTAGTCCAGTCTTATTATCGACTCGTTCTCTTTTTATCTTTGGGATCCGTGTGCACACGCTGGTTTGTTTACAGCAGCGGCCGTCTGCCGCGGGGCCGCGCCACAGGATATGACTCACTACGTTGACAGAAATGTTGAAATTGAATATTACTTATACACATTTTTACAGCATTGAAATACGTTAGGAATGTTTTTCCTCCTACAGAAACCACATTCAAATTAGGAATAAAATATAGCCCTCCCACTCCATTTTCAGACATTTTTGAAAAGGCTCCAGGAGCCACTGGAGGAGCACTAAAGGTTGCCGACCCCTGGTTTATACAGTATATGGAAGCATACTGTAGAGGATCAGGATGTCTACAGTTTCAACAAAAAAATAAAGTGCAATAGTCTACATTACAAGAGAGTAATAAACATGTCTCAGAGTGAGGGAGGTGGACACAGACAACACTGTTGTTTGTTACAGGGATGAGAATTGGTCAAAAAAGTCTGAAATGCATAATGTCAGCCATTTGCTGGCTCTAAATCTGTTTAATTTTTTCACAACATTTTACTTTTGGGCTCAAACATGAACTCTTAATGCAATGGGAAATTTAGGCACCCGAGCTTTAATTTAGTCGCACTTTGAGAGGAGAGGGAGACGCGGACTGTTTCCTGCAGCGGTGTATTTATTGGGTGCACAAATTACGCAAAGACACGCATGGTCCTGTGCACGTTTATGGTCTTGGGTATGGTCACGTTGCGGCTACGTGCTCACCGTGTTGTGTTGTGAGCGGCTCCCGGTGAGCGGTTCCCGCGTCCAGCTCAGAGCCGCTGGATGCGGGA